AGAGAGAGAGAGAGAGAGAGAGAGAGAGAGAGAGAGAGAGAGAGAGATAATTTATTATGCCCAAGCAAAGGCTAAAGGGCAAAAAGCAAAAGGTAACATAGAATTACAATACTGAAACAGATACAATTGCTCTCAACAATATTAAACAGTAGATATAAACAACTTAAACAACTTAAAACTACCGCACTTATAGACTAACGCACTACAAAACTAACATACTTAAAGCACGCCGAAACAGCAAGTTGATACTTTTAGTCAGATTCGGATGCCAGCAGAAAAGATCGAAGAAGATTTTTGAATGATGCTTGTTGTGTATTCTGGGTGTATACGGTAAAAGGTAGAAAAAAATGCTCGTAAGTCTTATAACGCTGTACTATATTTCTGACTCGCTTCCTTTACAAAGAACAAGCTCGCGGTCTGACTGCTGACAAAGGAATGCTTGGTAGCGGAAATCGACGGCGCCGCATGCGCTGGAATATATGCGAGTATCGCCTATCTACTGTTATATAAAAACTGCCCCCTGGCGTTACGCGGGTTGTCCAAATCGCATCACAACACTTCTCCCCCTAGGAAAACGCAATTCTACATTCCTACATGGAACTCCGCGTATCGCTGTGGCATCCTTATTTCGCGCCTTGATCTTCTCACTGGATCTGGCGCGATTGGTGCTTCGTTTTCCTCGACTGGCGCGTTTGCTCCGTCTTGTGGTTCTGGTTCCGGTTGTGTCTCCGGTTCCTCTCCGTATTCCTCGTATGCGCCATCGTCCAACTCCGAATCCGCGTCATTTGTGGCTTCGCCTGTTGGTCGTATTTGATCGATGTGCCTTTCCCATACACGACCGTCACTTAGCGCGATTTTGTAATGTAGTTTTCCCGTTCTCTGTAAAATTTTACCAAAACTCCATTTTTCGTTTCCTCTGTAGCTTCTGCATTGTACTCTCTCTCCCTCCACGAACTGACGAATCTTCTTGCCGCTGTTTATATTCGTATTGGTTTTTGTTTCTTCTGGCTTGAGTAGATCCAGTCGGGTTCGCATTTTCACTTTGAATACTCTTTCGGATGGTGCGATCCCCGTTGTACTATGTGGTGTGTTTCTATATTGTGTAAGTAATTGCTGTACTACTTCTTCAAGGGACGCTTTGTGATATCGCGTATCATTGTACATTTTCTTCATGGAAATCTTTAGTGTTTGGACAAACTTTTCCGCTTGCCCGTTTGTAGCCGGGTGATATGGTGCCGTGAATTTCGGCGTGATACCATTACTTTGCAAGAATTTGAGGAATTCGGTTGAACAAAAATTTTGTCCATTATCCATAACTAGTATACGTGGAAGTCCAAAATCAGTAAAGATTTCCTTACATTTTTCGATTGTTGTCTGAGTTGTAATGTTTTTAACAATTTGTACTGACGGCCACTTTGAAAATGCATCGACTAACACTAGAAAATATGCTCCCATGAAAGGTCCCGCATAGTCAATATGAACTCTTTCGAATGGTGCAGTCGCAGGTTCCCATTCGTGGGTTTCTACCTTAGCCGGATTATTCCTAACTCGATTACATGCTACACAATTTCGCTAATTGCTCGATATCCCTGTCAATACCAGGTCACCAGCATATGCCTCTTGCTAGTGTCTTCATTTTTACGACCCCAAAATGGCCGTTATGTAACTCCTGTAAGATTTGTTTCCGAAATATTTTCGGGATTATGACTTTCCCTTCTCGCAATAAAACTCCTTGTTGAATGTTAAATGTTGCTTGGTTAATTTCGAATCGTACTTGGCTTGGTATTTTCTTACCCTCTATAATCGCTTGTACTATTGGCTTTAATTCTGTATCTTTCTGTGTTTCGCTCGCTATTCTTGGAATTGTAATCGGTAAACTTTGAAGCGTTTCTATCTCGTATACGTCTACAACGTCATATTTCGCATCCGTAACATTTTTTATCGGTAATCTTGAAAGACAATCTGCATTGCAATGTAATTTAGTGTTCCGGTACTTAATATCGAATCTAAATGCCTGTAAGAAGATAGCGTAGTGTTGCATACGCATTGCAGTATAACGAGGCAATGGTTTTGCCTGTGACAATATCTGTACAAGCGGTTGGTGATCCGTGTATAGCGTAAATTTATTTCCATAAAGAAACTGGTGGAATTTTTTCATCCCAAAAATAATTGCGTAAGCTTTCTTGTCTATTTGAGGATACTTTTGCTGTGTCGCGGATAATGATTGCGATGCGTATTGTAACACTCGCTCCGTACCATCCGGATATCTATGTGATAGGATTGCGCCTACGCCATATGCACTCGCATCTGTTGCTAGGATTAGTGGCAACTTTGGATCAAAATGTGCCAATACATTATCACTTTTGAAGTTATCTCTAGCTCGATTGAAAGCCTGTTCACAGTTCTTCGTCCAATTGAATGTAACGCCGCTTTTTAAAAGTTCGTACAGTGGCTTAAGGATCGCGCTAAGTCCTTTTATGAATCGACCGTATAGTTTATCATCCCCACGAAAGCACGCACTTCGCTCACGTTTTTAGGTTTAGGCATCTGTTCAATCGCGTATATTTTACTTGGTGATTTCCGAATGCCATTTTTATTTATCACGTACCCGCAATATTCAATCTCGTCTTTGAGAAATTCAGACTTACTCTTGTTTATTCTTATGTTAGCGCGCCCTAGTCTGGTAAGAACTTCATTTAGTCTATGTAAGTGTACCCTATCATTGGGACCTGTAATCCTTATATCATCTAAGAACGTTGAAACTCCCTCTATGCCTTCTAATACTTCCTCCATTTTGCGTTGCCAAATCGCGGGCGCGGATGCTATTCCGTAGAGTAATCGTGTACTTTGGTACAGTCCCTTGTGTGTGTTTAATGTTAATAATTCGCGGTCCTCCGGTCGGACTTCTAATTGTAGGTATGCGTGTTGTAAATCGATCTTTGTAAATTTTTCGCCACCTGCCGTAGATGTAAAAAGTTCGTCTGTAGTCGGAAGTGGATGCTCATCGATTACTAAATTCGGGTTCGTTGTAACGCTGAAATCCTCGCAGATTCGTATAGAATTATTTTTCTTGAGCACCGGCACTATGGGTGTAGCCCACCGCGACGCGTTTACTTTTTCAAAAATCCCCGTTTCAACGAGATTATTCAACTCGGTCTCTACAAGTGGAAGCAATTTGAACGGCACTGTACGAGTCTTCAAAAACACAGGTTTCGCATTTTCTTTGCATGTAAGTTTAGCTTGAATTCCGCGTATTTTTGTACTCGTCGGATCTAACAGATTACGATACCGACTTAATATCGCTTCTAATTGCTTTTCAGTGCTTGCGTTAAGACAATTGATATTTTCGCGCAATTGTATCTTCAACTGTCGTATCCATTCGCGTCCTAGCAACGGACCTCGGTCGACGTCTAAAACGTACATATTTAGTTTTTTTTCAACATTTTCGAAATGTACTACTACCGGAATTACCCCTACAATATTAATATTAGTCTTACAGAAAGTAATCAGTCTTAAATCCGTAGATTGCAATTTAATCTTTGGCCATAATTCGCTTACAGTCTTTGTACTTACAATGGTGACCGCTGCACCACTATCTACCTCGAACTTTACCGGTATCTTGTTGACGGACATCGTTTCGTAAAATTTATCTTGGTACTCGCTTCGCTCCATTAACATAATTTCCTCGATCTGATTCGCACTTGTATCGGGGTTGGTTCGCTTTCCGCTCATACAGACTTTTTGTAGGTGTCCTGGTGTACCGCATTTCTTACAAACAACGTCTCTGGGCAATTTACATTTATTTGCCAAATGTCGCCCGCCGCACCTGAAACATGTACCATTAAATTTGTCGCTCGTATTTACATCTGACCTCGCTTTGGTTCCCGCGCGTCCACTGGTGTTTTTCGATGTTGACGTCTTAGAGGCTCTAGGTTTCTTGTCTGCTTTCGTTCCCACGTAATCGATGGATGACGCCTCTGCCCCAGGATGCCATTACAGTGCGTTCGTCTCAGACAGTTCCATTGAAATTGCTATCTGGATCGCCTTTTCGAAATCTAAGTCCCTCGTCTCCAGCAGCCGGGATTGTGCACGTTTGCTTGTAAGTCCGTACACAAATTGATTCCTTAGTGCAGTTTTTAAGTATTGACCGAAATTGCAATTTACACTGAGCTTGTGCAATGCAGCCACGTATTTCTTAATACTTTCGCCATCTTGCTGTTTCCGGGTTTGAAAACGGAATATCTCGGCGATTTCTAATGATGCAGGCGCGTAAAATTCTGCCAAAGCGGTTGTGAGGGCGGCATACGTACTATCATGTGGCTCTGCCGGCGCCAGCTTGTCGCAAATAATATCAAATGCAGCCGGTCCAATAAAATGTAATAAGTACGTCACCTTTTGTGCTTCTGGAACCTTATGCACCGTGAGCCCTGCCTCAAATCTTTTTAGCCACCTTTTCCAGTTTGCTGTAGCCGGGTCGAACATCTCAAGACCCAAACTTCCTTGAATTACGATCTTCTCCTCAGCCATTTCTCTCGATTAGTGTAAAACTGCTTACGTACAATACCGGCTCTCGTTCTGCCACGTGGCGCGTTTCTTTTGCGTAACCGTTACTATGAGTTGTATATATCGCGGTATTTTCATTACCACGATCCCATCCTCGTCGCCAGTTCTGTTGTGTATTCTGGGTGTATACGGTAGAAGGTAGAAAAGAATGCTCGTAAGTCTTATAACGCTGTACTATATTTCTGACTCGCTTCCTTTACAAAGAACAAGCTCGCGGTCGGACTGCTGACAAAGGAATGCTTGGTAGCGGAAATCGACGGCGCCGCATGCGCTGGAATATATGCGAGTACCGCCTATCTACTGTTATATAAAAACTGCCCCCTGGCGTTATGCGGGTTGTTCAAATCGCATCACAACAATGCTAAAGATGATGCAGAGGTTATATTGTCAGGTAACGAGTTCCAGAGATAAATTGCAGAGATTTGGAAAGAGTTCCTGTATGTTACCGTTTTGTGGGCAGGAATGTGGAAGGCCTGAGTGGAAGCAGCCAGACGTTCGGATCTCCTCAGCAGAGGATCAGGTTCAGTAAAAAACTCACAAAGATAAGAAGGAGATCGCATATGGAGGATACGATACATCTGGCAGCTCATGAAGTAAAGCCTCCTATTTTCGACACGGAGCCATCGCAGTCTTCGCCTGTACGGTGTTATATGCTCATCGCGCCTGAGATTGAATATAAATCTGATACAGCAATTTACTAGCCTCTGTAATTTAGTGTTTAATTCATCCGTCATACTGTGATAAACTAGACAGCAATAATCAGTGTGAGGTATTATGAGGGTAACAACCAGTTTTGTCTTCAGCGCTATTGAGAGAGAATTTCTGTTGAATTTGAGACTGTAAAGTGCTCAATGAACCTTTTGAGAAACATGGATGACATGCTTCTTCCAAGAAAGATCGGACGTAAGGATAAAACCAAGGTTCTTGACTTCACTCACAAAAGGTATTGGCGTGTTATTGATCACTACTAGCTGTAGGAGATTCAGATTAATGTTTCCAATATGTGCTCGACTACCAAACACAATAATCTTGGATTTGCTCGGGTTGAGCTTAAGACCGTTTGACTCAGCATAATCGAATATGGCCTTGGCATCCCTTGCAATCATTTCAAGACCACGATTTATGTCGACCGGTGCGCATGAAAGATAAGCTTGAACATCGTCTGCAAAAAGCATATGATACGCATGGTGTAAAAAACAAGGTGAAGCATTACGCATAATAGCGGCAGCTTTGGCGGTTGAACCAATCAGGAGGCGACCCATTTTGTTGCGCTCACTTTAAGGTAAAGTTCGCTTATAAGAAATAAAAATGTGTGAATCATGTAAAATTTTAGATAAAACCTTAAATAAATAAATAAACTAA